TCATGGGTGAATAATAGCTTGATAAATTAGTTTTAAGTTCGCTTGGGGGACAAGGTGTCTTACTCGCTTTATGGCCCCGATTCTTTATTATCTTCTCCATATATATGGCTACCCGAATCGAGATTATCATCGATGGTCACTCCAAGAGATTTAGCAGTAGCGACTTGGGTAACTCGAAAATCATTAATTGCAAGTGATGGGGAAACTGTTACAATACTTAGCCTCTGCCTAGATCCGATTAACATGAACTCGGTTTTAGTCATATTTAGAGTGAGTTTGTTTGTTCTTAGCCAATTGTGAACATTTTCTAAGTCTTCGTTTAAACTTGTTTGAATATTGTGAATCTTATTGCTCGCATACGTAAGATGGGTATCATCAGCGTACATCCGAGATTCGCAATTTGATAGGCAGTTGGGTAGATCTTTAATATATAATAGAAACAATAATGGACCTAAAATAGTACCCTCAGGGACACCACAACTGAAAAAGCAACCGCTAGAGAGACCATTGATGGAACATATTTGTGTGCGGTCCTCTAAATATGACTGAAACCGTTGATGCGCAATACCGTTATATATATTATATTATTATTGTTTATAGCGCGCAAATTAACATTCGAATATGATCAAATGCGCGTTACATCTAAGATACCTAAAAACTATAAACAAAAGCAATAAGAAAACTATATACATCATATAAAAGCTAAAAATACATCATAAAAAAAAAACTAAATTACACCGTATTAAAAATAAGATAATGAACAATTAAATTACCGTTAATACCGTAGAGGTTTAGTTTTGATGAAAGGTTCTCGTGGTCCACAGTTTCGAAAGCCTTTTTTTAAATTTAGGAATACGACAGCACTGATTTTGCCACGGTCAATATTATATGCCCAAGTATCCGTGGCCTCAAGAAGAGCCGTCACAGTTGAATGAATAGCACGAACGCCCGATTGATATTTACAGATAATGTCGTGTTCTTCTAAATAGGCATATAATTAATCATGGACAAAATCAGTATATAATAAAAAAAATACATCATATTGAAAATATTATTAATCGTTTACGAGAACCCGATTTTGAATTATCTCTTGAAGACTTGTTGGAAAAGATACATAACATATTCAAATAGGTAGAGTGTAAATTACCACTAGCTAATGGTAAAGGAAAAACAAATGATTTAGTATGATACCTATATTTTAAGAAAACTATTTCGAATGATCATGATGGGTTTAACTCATCAAAAGATAAAAATAACGGATTCTAAAAGACACTAGTAAATAGTATCACCAGTAGTAGAATAATCCTATAAAATTGATTGTTGAGGATATTTATAAAATTATACTGGAATAAGAGTAATTTTAAGACCTATTGGTGTTGTTTATTTCCAATAACCCTGTTTATATGTGTTATTCGTTGTTAAAAGATAGCATTGCAAACCAACTCCCCACATATAGCTATTCAATCTTTTGACTGGTGAGAGGTACACTGTAGATACATTTTTGTTATCCCAACAATGCGTTGAAATGTTCAAATCTTCAATCAAAACATTTACTCAATGTATAAACTGAACCATACATTTTAAGCAGTTTGATAATAATAATAATAATAATAATAATTTTATTCAATCGATAAAATACATATCAAAAGTCACAAACGTCATAGAAAATTAAAGTTTTTTTAAAAATCACAATTAAAGTAGAAACATATTAGTTGCTAAGTTATAATTAAAGCATAGCCTATTTACAAAGCAATTCTTAAAGCTCTCAATGTTAACTGAAGTTAGCTGAAATGTTTTTTTTCGAAGTCTTGGCCTGCGTAGCAAGCGTTTCCGTTTGAGTTCAGAGCAAAGAAAGACCGGTTAACCAAGCAAGCAACCACAGGCTGTTTTAAAATGTTGATCGAATGTTGACCTCTGGATCTCCAGTTTTACTAACTAACTATAATCTCTGGTTTTCTTATTCGAAAATCTCAATGACTTCTATGTAAAAATTATTCGGAACCTCAGGAATTAGTTACAGGGAATTTCTAAAGATCACATTGTACCTGTGGCTGACGACTCTGTAAGATGTTCTCACTTTTTTTTTTTTTCGTTCGAGATCTCAGGTTCTGTTACGGTTAAACAAATGATCAGATCACTCTCGAGTAAGTGCCCTTTAATATCTTCTAAAGAATCACCTCGACGTCATAAGTCCAGTTATAACAGCTACTGTCAACGAACTTTAACCTCTGGTGAATTCCCCTCTGCCTTTAAACAGTCTCTGATACGTCCAGCAGTCCTGAAGAAGGCAGTTCTTGACAAGACCTGTAGCCAATATACCTTCCCTAGCAAAAGTCACTGAGAAGGTTGCCGCAGCTCAAACACATTCATACTTGGAGAAAAATCTTTTGATGCATTCTATGCAATCCGCCTACCATAAACATCACTCCACCGAGACGGACCTGTTGTGAGTAACGAGCAATGTTTTAAGGACTATTGATCGTCGGCAAGATGTTGTTTTGATAATGCTTGATCTGTCAGCCGCATTTGACACCCTAGACCATATTATACTTGTGCCGGGTAGACTGAGTAGTTACTTTCGTTTTTACCACACTGTTCTAAAATGTTTTCCGTGATAACTTACCGGTCGGACACAATCTGTTATTCTCAGTAACACAATATCTAGCAGTCGGAGGTTAGAATTTGGAGTTCCGCAAGGGTTCATACTATGACCTCTCTTGTTCTCCCTTTATACAGCACCTATTCAAAATACAATCGCTACTCATAATCTGGACTGTATGTTCTATGCAGATGATTCTCAACTATACATTACAATTGATCTTCTTGATCAACGTCCTGCCCTGAACACCCTTCAGAAGTGTATTTGTGAAGTTATAGAATGGAACCCCAACAACAAGTTAGTGTGCAATTCTAGTGAAACAGAGGTCGTTCAGTTTAGTTCTCGTTTCGTCAAGAACCCAATCATGAGTTATTTTTCGATTGGTAGCGGCTAGGGTTTAACCGTCAGACCTAGTTTGTAATCTTGGTGTGAGCAAACAAAACAAACAAACAACAAAGTTTATTTCTTTAAAATGATTTAAATTACAATTTAGACCGAAACGCAGGTAGCATGGCTAGTCGAGGAAGGTCAGACTATAAATTCAAACGACTAAAGAAAAAAAAGAGAGTAAACTAAATAAGAAATAACCAACTCTGATTTTGACTCACAGCTAGAATGGTTAGTAAAAAGCTAAATATAATTTTGAGTTTATGCGAGGGAATCGTATAGCACGTCTTCTTAGACGTGTTTCAAGCTTATTATCGAAGGCCTAGATAGAGAGCTCAATCTTAGTCATCATACTAATGAAACATGAAAAAAGGCTATGGAGGTCATTCGATCTATTGGCAGATTGAGGAAGTATCTAAGCAAGGATCACCTTAAGATAATGGTCAATACTTTCGTCATGACACGCATGCTGATTATTCTACCCAAGCAAGACAAAAATAAGAACTCTCAGAAATGTGCGGCCGCCTGGTTTCGGGAAAAAGAAGATCTGTCGATATAACTCCTGTCATGGAAGTCTTGCACTTGCTCGCTATTGGAGCACGCATCGATTTAAAATTTAAAATTTTAATCGATTTAGCTCCTTACTATTTGTCTTAACTCCTTTACAGTAATTTTCAAGGAGTTCTAATAACTCCTCTAGTGGGGCTAGTTTAACTCCTTACAGTGGAGATAGTTTTTTGGGGAGTTATTTTAACTCCAAACAGGAGTTTAAAGAATTCTTTTTTAGGAGTAAAAGTGGCCCCAGATATTGAGGAGTTAAAATAACCCCAAAAAAGGAGTTATCCTGCATGTACCTAAAATTTTTACTCCACTTTCAGAGTTAAATTAATTCCAAAAAGAGTAACAACAACCCATGTAGCAGGAGTAAAAATAACCCCGTTTCGGAGTTATTTTAACTCCAGACTGGGAGTAAAAAGAACTCTTTTTCAGGAGTAAAAATGACGCCAAACTCGGAGTTAAATTAGGAGTTAAAGTAACCCCCAAAAAGGGGTTATCCTGTATCTAAAATTATTACTCCATTTTTGGAGATATAATAACTCCCTAAAAATTACGGTGTTGTCAAATATCAACCTGCTCGTCTATTCCGCCCATCTAATGATTGTTTTGACAAGTTCCTTCGATTCGGTTCATACCGTGACTTATGGACACCGCTCATTTTCACATTACGCACAGAAAACCTGGAACTGTTTAGACTTAATCATGTAAGTAAGTAAGTAAGTAAGTAACTTTATTTAATCAGGGTAGCCCGTTCAGCAACGAGGCTGGTATCCATAGGGGCCCTGAGAAATAAAAAAAAGTAAACTATTCAAAACATTTCTAAGGTATATACATGGTTAAAAATAAACAATAATACTGTGAAAAGTCTAGCTAGGTCAATATAAAAAGTGTGTGCTAAGAGATAAGAAATTAAAATTATAAGGTTAAATACTCGGTCAGCATCTTTTTAAAACTATTTACAGAGGTGGCACTTTTAACATAATTGGGTAAAGAATTGAAATGAACAGCCCCTGCACACTTAAAAGTTCTTTTGCCCATGTTACGTTTAGGCTTTGGTGGGTGCAGGTCGTTGCTTCTCCTAGTTGCATGATCGTGCAAATCCGCATTCCTTGTAAAATATAGTGTAAGATACTTGGGTACTAGATTATTTAAACAGTTAAAAACTAGAATGCATTTATGCATTTTTCTTCTGGAAGCTAGACTTAACCAGTTTAACCCACAGAAAGTGTCATTTGAGTTGTTCATCCGTAATATAATTCGAGCTGCACGGTTCTGTAGGCGGTGTAACTCTTTGCAACAAACAATAAAGTTCGTTACCTTTTTAAGCGCATTGAGAATTCTTTAAATGCGCCATAAAAAACTGTTATTATTATTATTATTATTATTATTATTATTGTTATTATTATTATCGATAACGTAATATATTGTAATATATTTATTTCAATTTTCCCATTGTATGTCAGAATGTCAGAATTACAGAAGTCTCAATGGCCATGACCGAAAGATTACGTACGGCAATTACTACAGTTATTGTGACAGTGGAATCGGCCCTGCATGGTTCCGTTTCGAAGGGTCTGCTGGTACAAGAATGTCAACTTCATGTACATCTATGAACAGGTGTAACACTCATATAACCGGCTGGATGAATGGTGGACATCCCACTGCAGCAGATGGTCAGGTCACCAGGACGGCGTGTTTTCACTATTATTATGGCTGCTGTTATTGGTCAAGAAGCATCAAAGTGAGAAATTGTGGTTCATATTATGTGTACTATTTAAATGGTGTACCCACTTGTAATGCCCGTTACTGTAGCACTTCCTGAACACAAGGTGGAAAGAAAGTGCTTCTTGACCAAAATAGGCTTTCTAGGAACTAGGATTAAACCCTCTTCAAAAAACTGAATTTTCCATATGTATAATTTACTAAAACTATATATCACGTCAGCAAGTAAATATAGTTTACTTGCAGCATTAGAAATACGAGGAAATATGTTCTACGAGGCTGTCGTTGAAAATAATTAGGTTATGGACTTACAACTAGGTTTATAGAATAGCATTTTAAACTGATTTTATAGGTGAAGTTTTCTGTATGACTTGTGTAATACGACTAACAATGCAAGGGACTAATTATAGACCAACTAGGATATGAAAAACGGAGTTAAGGCGTGTGTAGGGGAGAAAAACCTTTATACTTATATGTCATATTTTTATCGGTGTAAGGGTCCTTACGTAGTTCGTAGAGAATGAACGAAATACATTAGGATAACTATACTGAACTGAAGGTTGAAAGCAGGAAACTGGTAACGCTTACGATTCGTTTTTTAGACATATCACAGTACTACAATCAATTTAGATTACCTTGTTATATGTACTTCATTTGTTTCGTGACATCTACCCGGTAGTAGACCCGAGAAAACCATAATTAGATAAATAATCAGCCCCAGACAACTGGGCAGAAGGAACATATTGATTTGAGTTGTATGATTCACATGTGGATAAATTAAATGCAGTTTTTCAATTGGTTTGTAGTCTTGTGATTAAAGCGAGGAGAAGTTTATGTTAAATTTCAAAGAAAGTGTACAATGCCCCATTCTCCATCACTATCCCTGCCCCGCCCACTTACTTGTCCGAAGGGCTGGATGGTACAAAAAGGAGTTTCAGAAGCATGTGAATTCTCTGCCTTTGTTTGCATTAGCTATCTGAACAATGAACGAACAATTCAATTTAGTATCGAATTTTCAGATTGTCATTGCAAATACACAGTCCGGAAGGGTCTGTTTACAAGGAGGGAGGGCAAGACTGGCGCTAGGGTTACCTTAGCAAAAGGGTCACCTCCAGCCAATACGATATGAACAATCTATAGGTTTACGGTGTAACCCAGCTTATACGGACACCGAGAGGCAAACCATAGTGTCCCCATCAGGGGAGCGAAGCGCAAGAGAGCAGAGCCCCATGCCTGAGAAATGCCAGAAAAGCTGGCTACGACGTCAGCGTCCACCCGCACGTATGTAAGGACCCATCTGGGAGTAGGGGTAAAAAATTCAGTAGGGTGAGGAAGGGAGTCCTAGGCATGTACGTTGTGTTTCGTTTTGGCGAGTAGGGGTAAAAAATTCAGTAGGGTGAGGAAGGGAGTCCTAGGCATGTACGTTGTGTTTCGTTTTGGCGAAAACTTATCCATTTTAGGGGCAACGAACGGAGTTGCTCGAGTAAAAATCTGGATTGAAATTTCTTGTGTTCTAGTTAGAACAAATTTTCAGAAATAAGTGTCTAAAAGTTTGCCTTATGCTTGGTCTCGCTTTTGTGGACAACCAGGAACACGAACAACCTAGTCTCTCCTCCCCCCGCTTGGTCAAAATTTTGAAGGTGAATTCATGAATGAAAACTTATGCAACATCTAAAAATTTGTTTACCGAAAGACGTAACGACAACTGAAGCCTACTTTGCATTTCAGTTAACTTTTAAGATTGTCGTGTTCTTGTCCTGTCGCCACAAAATGGAATACAACTGCTGTCAAGTTTCTTTTTTCTGAAATGTTTGATGTTTTGTTGTAGTTTCTTGGTGTTGCGGAGACGAAAACTTAGTAAACAATTCCTACAACACAAAACAAAAGCGAACTAACATTAATTAGGTTCTGCAACACCAAGAAACAATGCACCCAAGATAACATATACTAGAGAGTTCAGTATACTCCATAGAAAAGTGTAAGAAAACGATTTTTAGTCGCGACCTGAGCAAGTAAGAGGAACTGAAACGTTGCGACAAGGACCCCATTAGCTGCCATAAACTGATCAGATGGACTGATGATCAGTGGTCAACTTAAAACCGTGAGCACCATCAAAGGGTTCTTGGTCCAATTTTTTTCGAGAGATAAAGAAGCTTCACTATAAGAAACATGAAAATGGGGGTTGTAAATCCTTTGCACAAGGAGAATAGTGCTGGTGTGCTACATACGTGAAAGGATTAACTAGCAGAAATCGCTTTGTCATTAGACCCTTCCCACTAAAATGATTAACTAGAAGAAGATTGAGATGCGAAAGTGCCTGCACAAGCTTTTGTCAGTTTCAATCAAGTGATCATTCAACTTTGCCTCTATACTTATCAGTTTTGGGGTTTCGTAACTGAACCGACGCAACGAAGTGAAATAATCTTGTTTCTTCTCTATTATTATTTATTCAAAATATTTCACCGTTTCTGATTGTCTCCAGTCCCGTCGCTAAATCCTTACAACCGGCACATGGTTACCATATTTGGAGGTCGATGTAGGCAGTACCCAATCGATGGCATGCTCATCCTCGATCTGCATAATTCTTCACATCATACTCAGCCTGATTCAATAATTGTTCAATATATGAAATATTTGTAACTCAATAAGGTTCTCAATAGAAGAGGAAAACTTTGAACTTGTTTCCGCCATGTTAAGGCGGGAGTTGAAAAATCATCAAATTGATCACGAGCGAACCATTACATCATTCACGATATATTCACTATAATTACTTTCAATCCGGAGAATTGATTTCTCTAATTCTGCCAATAAACTGCGAATGCAGTCAGCTTTAACAGTCGAGACCCAGCTATTGTCTAACGAAAAGTTCGGAAATAGATCCTCAGAGAATGTTCCCTTAAATTTACATTTGCTAGTTAGTATCTTTTTATGGTTGTTAATATCTTTTTCTTTTACTATCTTGTGTTTGGATTTTATTTTTATTCATTCACAGTAACCTTTGAAAGAAATTCATCATCCGCTTTCCTTTCCCTTACAGTGTATTTTATTTCGCTCTTCCTTCCCTTTACCCTTGTTTATTAATTCTGTTCCGTTTTGCTTTACGACCTTTTACCAAAAACGCCAAACGAAGAAAAAAATAATGCGACTTGAATTAGTAACGTATTCGTACTGTGCGCAAGTCACTTTTTTTTATTTATTTATTTTTTTATTTTACATTAGGAGCTTTACAATAGAGAGCCACCACAGGAACGAGAACGTCAGAAAACTCGTAAATTTAGATTAGCAACTTTGCAAGTTTATCATGCTTTTCATGGTAATGTGAAACCTCCTTCCAAACTTATCAGTATTCAGTAGGGATATCGTCTAATGGACTTTATCCACTAATGGACTCAGTCACTTGGGGCGGGGCTTTTAATTCGGTCTGAGGACAAATACCAGTTAAAATGACTGAAACATTTAATGTATTTATACTAATAAACATAAAATGTTATGTCCTACGGTCATCCTTATTTGCAACAAAATTAAAAATTATTTGCAAAAACTTAGTCACCAAAAACTTAGTTTTTTAACTGAGAAATCATCAGACTAATCTAATTTCACGACTGTTTATTCATCGAGCCAAGAATAAGTTGGTGAAGTGAGACGCAAACAATTCTTACAAGTACCAGTCACTGACCGGTTTGCAATTCCGCAAAACTTAATTTATATCAATTCCCATTATATTATGTAGCGTGGCATCGTTGTTAGAGGTAGTGACACTCTCTTCGAACGTTTTTCCCTCTTGTACGATTCAGAATAACTGTGGAAATTTCTTTAATTTAGATAGCCGTTTTGTGAGGGCAGGTAGACGCTTAGGACCTTTTTACATGGAGGTGGGGGTCCCCGGGTTAGTGAGATGACCCGCTTAGGTAGGGTACCCTCCTGTCCATGCAATCTCTCATGTGGTCACCCCAACTAGCATGTAAACTTGACCAAATTAAAATTAGGGGTTGTATGGAAAAGCGGGTTACCCACCTTCACGTGAACATTACAGGTCTTTAAAAGGTGTACTTGTGGTTGCACGGTGTATTTTCATAATCATATCTGACCAACCTTTGTTATTTTGAATGCTTTTGTGTTCCGATCTTATTATTATTATTATTATTATTATTATTATTATTATTATTATTATTTTAAATTGAAAGGAGAAAACCGTTATTTAGCAATCCTATTGAAATGAAATATTAAGTAATAGCAATAGTCTATCAGCCGACCCCATAAAATGGCTTTTCGGTCAATTTTACAATTGCAATTTGATAATTAAAAGCATAATTATCTACTTTACAATACTGGGACGTGAAATTTATTGGGAAAAAAAATGAAATATGGAAATAATGCTTTTTCACTTCAGCCTTAGGCTGATTGAGATTCGCTATATTACCTAAAGATTCGGGATAGTCATTCCAGAGGCGGACTAGTCTTACTGCTCATGGCCGCTGACCAGCAGTGAATCGAAAGGAAGGCATGTCTAACTTGTTTCTGTTTCCAATATCACGAGAGTGCACATCGCCCATTTTCATTAACCAGCTACAGAGAAGGGACGGGGTAATTCCGTTAACATATGTTAAATAAACTCGAATTTTTTTAGGCTTGCCAAAAAACGCCTGGCACGCGTTTTATCACTGGTTAAAAAATCTCTCGCTTATTACGCTCAAATGTTAAACCAATGATAACACTGCTGTTCATGTTTTAAACATTACTAAACACGGAACGCTTTCAGACTAGAAAACTATTGTTTTTCCTTTTTCTACATTGAGATACATTACATTAGAATTAAACACCAAAAAAAGATTCACCAACTTGGTGAATTTGAGAATTAACTTGAACGAAATGGAATAAGAGTGATAAAAATTAATTTGAAACAGCGTGAATACACTTTTTTGTGGAGTTTTCGCTCCATGACGTCGCAGTCGTGGTTGCTTAATATGCTCCTTATATGGAAGGAGACTGTGACTGATAGGGAGATCGGGTATGCCAAATATGGAGAATATGGACTCTACACCTCCGACTGCGTTTAATAAACTCTCATGGAGGGGCTAAACTGTAACGTCACTGAAACTCGCAGTAGAGTGTAAGATTAAAACCGCACCATTTAAAGAGACAGCATCATGCCGCTAGTACGCTAGCTCAGAAAGAAAAAAACTTTATAGGCGTTTGTTATTTTGCGCTGTTCAGCCTGATCATTATGATAACAAGCTTCAAGCTTATGTGACCCTTGTGCGAGCTTCTTTTTATAAAGGATAGATCTCCAGGAAGTCTAGTTCGCTGCTTTCCGTTATTTGCTCTATGAGATCCCTTGACGCACACGGATCCGTGCAGAACAAGAAAATGAAATTGCTTGAAATTGCAGGCAATGAAAACAAATAATCAAACAGGAATAGTTCATACTTCCTTTTGCGCTCGTAGCCATCTTCACTCAAGGGATTTTGAACCTCGACCTTGCTGCCAATGTTCCAAGGCAACCTTATAGCACAAGACCATACAGTTACAAAGGTATGAAGTAAAAGTATTTTATTACCGACACCACGACGCGCGGAATTTGTGAGTTTTCTTAGATAGCCACATTTTCATAAACTAACTGAGTTATTCCTCGCGCGTTGATTGGCTAATTTCTATCAATACGAAGAGGACAGACAAAAAATTTTAATTTCTGTAAGACGGAACACCCACTTAATACAGATACCCGTATATAACGGACAGTTTCTGAAATTTACCCTTTAATACGGACACCGGTTAATACGGACACAATGGACACTTTTCTGTGTCCTGAGGCACAAACTCTGTCAACCCTGCTATTTACGGGCACTGGTTATCTGCGTACCGTCTATTTTCCTTGTCACAATCACGTGCTATTTGTAGATATTTTACACTGTCCAAACAATGACAGATTTCTGGGTTTAAGTAGCAGAATAGCTTGATATGTTTGATTTTAAGTCAGCCTTTCTTTCCGTGTACTATACAGCCATTTAATAATTACTACTCAAGTTTCACTTCCTTGGCAGTCATTGTTCCTACCCTTCTTCCTCTTTGTCTGCCATAGTCTTCATATCAATACAAGATGTTTCCGGGACGTTTTTACGGAGAGCCCACTTAATACGGCCATCCGCATGATACGGACACCATGGCATGTCCCCTAATGTGTCCTTATTAACCGGGTTCTACTGTTAGTAGTTTCCTTTTGAAAGGCAAAATGTTTTTTACTGATCCTTTTTCCAAACTTTTATTAGGCTAAAAAGCAAATTGACCCCAGGTCCGCAGCAACATTGTCAATTTTTCATGATGCGTTGTTATGATCAATAAGAGGGCAGACGATAAAGAAACTAGCGTCAATGTGATGAAATGAACCAATTTTAGTGCATAAAACTAGAAATACGTTTTTGCAAAAATCTCGCGAAGCTAACGGGGTCAGCAGTGAGAATAAACAGTAAAAAGCCGAAGGGTAAAAAAACGATGAAAGAAAAAAAAAAATGGAAGTAGACACGCCGTTGCACCCCAACTTCTTCCAGCGAAAAAATGCGGCCTCTGACCATTGGGCCATGCGACCACTGCGCCGATAACCCATCAAAATTAATAGTGTTGAAGTATTTTTCTCTGCCATTCACACTGTTTGAACCTTATGGAGCTGTATTTATCATGAATTCAAAGATACATTTGAGGAAAAATACCTCAAAGGAGAATTTCAAAACCATTTCACATTACTTCCGTGTTTATTCACTCTCGGGCTTTAAATAGGCCGCTCGATTAACGGAGTGGTCTTCTTCTTCGCTGCTCTCGCTGAAGTTCAGCTCACCGTTCTTTCGGTGTTAAACCTTCCACGGCAAGGACTTCCACTTGTCCAATTGGGCACTGTTGTGTTTGCAGCCTGCTGTTATTTGCCTCAGAAATACTCTGCGATTCGCCAGCTTACAATAAACAGAGGATGAATAAAAAGTTCGCTGGCCGTGTTGCCTGGAAACCCAAAATGCACGATGACGTGCATTTGGCGTCTTTATTATTTGTTTATGGCTTGTTGCTAGGCAACTGCGGATACCAAACCGATAGAGAGATTTATGACCAAAGCGAAATCGCAGCTCCCTTGCGATCCTCGCGTAATCCGCGCACTGCGGGCGCGACAAAATAATACACTCGCTCCGCGAGTATTATTATACACGCGCCCGCGAGAATTATTATTTAACCTACTATTTCCCTACTTCATCGTATGTAGCAGAGATCACTCATCCATTTGCAATGGCAGATCGAGGCAGCTAAGAATGCCTACAGATATTTTTTTCCCCCTTTCCCATGTTATCGCTTAACATCGGTCTGTATATCTACCAGCGTGTGAAAGCCAGTAACCAATCCTCAACTACTCGTATGTAGACAATTATCGCCACAGTGGGGCAGGTGTTGGGGATCTTACGGGACGTGAAAATTACCCACTTTGAGCCTGTTTATCTACAGTAGATAAAACTTTTCGAAACGATGAATTACAAAAAATATCAAAATATTCAATGATTTTCTAACCTTTTAAAAGTTAAATCATTATTATTATTATTTTTTATCTTATCAGAATGTCAGAATTACGCAAGCCTTAACAATTATACCAGAAAGATTACGTCCTCCGGTAGCAGTTACCGTGACAGGGAATCGGACCTGGTTGGTTCCGTTTCGAGGGGTCCGCCGGTACAATAACGCCAACTTCATGTCCACCGACACGCAGATGTGGCACCTATGCTCCCGGCTGGTTGAATGGTGGACACCCTACGGTAGCAGACGGTCAGGTTAGCAGGCAGGTGTGTTTCCACTGGGTTGATTCAGGCTGCTGTCAGTGGTCAACAAACATCAAAGTGAGAAATTGTGGTTCATATTATGTGTACTATCTTAGTGGTACATCTGTTTGTAATCTCCGTTATTGTGACACTAACTGAAAACAAGGTGCAAGTAAAGTAATACATAATGCTATCAAAAAAAGGAAAAAGAAAAAGGACTTCAATATTTCAATTTCTATTATAACTTAACCAAACGGAGAAAAAAAAAACTATATAGCACTATATAGCTCAACGTACTACTCGAGTTAACAAGCAAGAACAGTTTTCTTTAAACTTAAAAAGAGGATATTAAACTTTGTTTAAAGTTATTTTGAAGCTCAAGTAAGAAATACAATTATAGTAATAGAACTCACCAGGAAGACAAACTAGGTACTAAAATAACACATTCAATTAGCAATACAGGTTTCTATATCATTAGTCAAGGTAATCAGAAATATACACTGAGTCCAAGATCCAAGAAGAAAAATAAAATTTAAGTGTTCTTAAACACGAATTAATCTTGTCTTAAACTTGGGTTTAATAAGTTTAAGTGGACGTTTAAGTTCCTTAAACCCAAATTTTAATTTAACGTAAACCCAGCTTAAAGCAGCTTTAAGGCTAAAGTTTAAGGTAGGTTTAATCAGCTGATTAATTGTGTGAAACGCCTTGTTTTGGTTGCATTAAATCAAGCTTAAATGTTCTTGAAACGTTTAGTTTAAGTAGGAGCGTACTATAAAACCATACTTAAAGGCAGCCTAAACTCAAGGTTTTAGCTAAAAATAATCAATCTTAAATTTGCCCAAAACTTGATTTTTAAAGTCAAAGGTCTCGAACTTGAATTGTTAATTGGTCTTCAGAAACTACAGTTTAAACTAATCGGTTGGTTCCAGTGGGCTCAAGAATGGTACGGCCCTGATCATTTTGTCTGGTACTATTTTATGAGTTACTGCTCGCGAAAAGTTAAGTAGTTTTCAAAATCCTTTTGGAAAAATGAAATTAATCTATCCCTTTTAAGTCAATCCCTTTCCCTACACAATGAAGACAAGCAGTTTTTTCCGCTTTCAACTCACTTTATTTTATTTAATAGAGGTGGTTACAATTCTTTTTTAAAAAATTACTAAAACGAAATTCATTGGCCTTTGAAAATACAAAGTGCACATAATTTTAAGAAAACACTAAAATAGAAATCTAAATATATTTAACACTAATAACGACAACATAAAGAATTGTAATTGGTAAAACTACCGTCTCCAATACATTTCTTATGGTTCAGAACTGTTCATTTGTTCTGGTAGTACCGGACACCTTTACAAGACAAACCCCTCGGTAAGACTGACATCTAGAGTTAGTCCCTGCTTCTCTACTCTCTTTATTCGACAGACAGCTAGTTAGTAATGCCAGTCCCAAAGGTGTCCGACTTATAGAGAGTTGATTTTATAATTATAAAATAAAGTCCAGACAAAAATGCCTGTTTGTTATATTAAAAAGATATCTAAATCCATTTAAGGAAACACCAACAACAAAAAGCAAATGCCTCATAGGTTTGTTTGGTGGGCTATTAATGTTTGCCAAAGGAAACAAAACTTATGAAATAGCTGAACTGTGGATTGAGTGCAAAAGAGCTAAGTGTACATTTATCAATAATGCTACTAAAAAATTTGTAAACAGCAAAAATCTGACATATAATATTTACACAATATGTATTAAATAATTAATATTGAGAGCTTGAGAATTTGGAAAAGTTTAAGTGTAATCAATGACTACAGCTTGCACCTTGTTTTCTACAGTTAACCAAATATCAGTTGAACCTTGATTAATATCTCAAACAAACTTTTTGGTTATCCCATTCTTCTGATCTCAGATTTCTCAAATGAATATTGCAAACTCAAGCCTGATTTTCTTTCTTGAAGTCTCTTTCTCTTTAAAAATCAAAGTAAGTACTTATATGTGTTGTTCATCATATGAGCTACCTTATTAAGAAAGCCACAGCAGATGGCATTTTTGAAAGTCAACCCCTTAGATATCAATTTTTTTTATCATCCACACTCCTTTTTTCCCATTTACATATTTATTGCAGCCAGTCTTGCTGAGTCTGTATAAACAAGGTTCCACTCACTGACTAAAATGTTAAATAAATAGCCATATTTTACTAAGGACCAGGTTACTCAATGCTGGTTTATGCAAAATTTGAGTTGAGATAAGAAAGCCTATTATTGAGCAATGGCCTGTCTCACTGCCCATGATGGACCATCGGGTGCTGGCCTCTTTGATATATCACCCTCAAACTTGGGCTTTGCCAATGCTTTGGCATGAGGGGTGAGGCTTCCATAATGGGCTCTGTCAAGCTTGCTTTTTAAGTTTGTCAGGGCTGTTTGCTCCCAAGAGAGCTTCTTGGTTAAATAACCCTTTAGTTTCTGTGTTACTTCACCAGTGATGGGATCTTCCTCATCTTCACAGGCAGACTCCTCACTGCTCATGTACTCCACATAGAGCACCTCTGGGGCAAGCTGCTTCTGGCGCGAGGATAAGGATTCTTTTATAAGCTCAAAAGCCCCACATCGCCTGTCCAGCTTCTAATAAAAACATAAAGAAGGACAAAAATCAAACTAAATAATGGTGTTACAGTCCTTCAATAATAAATATAATCTATCAATTCAGCAGGGTTCTCATTAAGTGCCGGCAGCCGGCTAAAAAACCGGCTACTTGGAGGTTTGAGCCATCTACTTTTTGGGGAAATAGAGTAAAGTTAGAGAGTGAAAACCTGAAATTGCCTACAGCACTCAGTTACCAAGCCGCCTACCTTAACATCCTAGCTGTCTGCTTGAAAAATTAATGAGAACCGTGAATTAATGTTTGTAATAATGGAATTTGTTCAAGAAAGTAAAAATAAGATAACTAAGGATAAAAGTGGCCTCACCCATATACTGCAGTTAAGATCAGAAAAAAAAAAACAATGTATCACTGTCAATAAATATCATTATGACATTATAAACATATTATACATTGTTTTTCATGAGGACATGGAAAACTGTCCAACACATACAGGTGTCCCTATTAATGGGATACCACTGCATTTATAATTATCAAAAAAAGTTTTTATATTTGACCATGTTCAGATGTTTGAAAAAAAAACTTCCTTATACTTACACTTGTGAGACGTCTACTCATTTTGCACCTCTGCTTGTGCTCTTCATTTTTTCCCTTTTTTATTCTTTGACATTTCTCCTTTACCGTTCTGAAGTAACGAAGGAATTGAGCTGTTGACGTAAAGACCAATAATTAGCAAAAATAAATTTTAAAGTAGGCAACATTTTATAAAAAACCTGCTGAGATTTCTTCAAATCTAAATTTAGCAACTGCCCCTAGGGTTGAAAAGGAACTAGTACATGTAAGTGTACATAACTTTTACAGACAAGAACTTGATTCCTTAGCTAAAGGCAGTGCTATTTTCTCAACAAGGGAAGAGAAATTTCGTATCTCCAAGCGGCCATGTAATATTCTACCAAACCATTTCACTTTAAAAGTAATTTGGTGTGAAAAGCGCGATTTATTATGTAGCCATAGCAACGGTGATATTTTCACATGTGAAGATACCAAGTTTTCAAGTGAAAGCTCACCTGGTATTTCATTGGTGTTTATATAATAATAAGTGTTATTATTCATTCAAAATATTTCCCCGATTCTGATTGGCTAAAAGCACACCTATAATTCATCATAACCAGCTACTGATGACCAAATTTGAAAGAATTGTCGTTTTAATCAACTGATGACGTCAAAAGTGCTACTTCCTTGCAGGTTAATGTACCATTAACCGAGAAGACCAGGGGAAGAGGTTGAGTTGTTTTGGTAGTGAAAACAAAAAATTAAGGACATTTCACTTCTTTCAAGAGTAAAAACTTGGCAAAATAATAGCTAAAAACATGGCAGGAACACAACTCGAAGGGCGACATCTGCTATTTGCGGAGCTGAAAAATGCTAAACGTGCACTATTGAAGATGAACTTAACACTGATGGAGGTAAGCATGTTTTAGCTACATTTTTAAACTAGGAATTATTTTGAACGAATAATAAAACACTTTTTGAATTTGCCTTTCATATCATATGAAGAATTATGGAGATCTTGGAGGGAGTTATCGGCCGATAACACCCTCCTCGATCTCCACACTTAGTCATAAGATACTCAGGCTCATTCATGTAACAACAAACCTTCCATTTGCAGATCAGTCCATGGGAAATTTTCTCCTCCATGTTCTTTTTTTAGAACTTCTTTTACTTTAGACAAGATGTCCTGGTTCACCTCTGACTGGGGACTGTGACAAAAACAGTATGTTAATTTCAAAGTGAAGGCTCAGTAAAATATCCTCAGTTAAAACAAGACCTAATTCATGTCATAAGTCAATTTTAACTGAAGCCTATCTATGACATTTTACAGTGGACTATTTCCAATTTCAAGAACAACTTTTAAAGTTAATGCACATTCCCAGTCCATTCTAATAAGGCTTTACGGCTTGAACTGTTTGCTTCACCAACTTCTTTACATTTTTCAGTTCACTTGTCTTAAATTGATAGTTAATTATTGCAAAAGCATTGAGCATTTTGTGTAAATAACCTTTAAATCCTTTGAGCTATGATTCATACTCTGTCTTGGAAAACCAAAAAGCATCAAAAAACACTTTCCAGGCCACTACATTCAAAGTTGAAGAAAATTCAAGGGCTTTTCAAGGACTTTCACAGAATTTCAAGGAAAAAATGAAATTCAAGGACTTTTCAAGAGTGTGCGAACCCTTCAAATTGAAACAGAAGCATATAACCTATAACCCTGTTCATGGCTTCTGCTTTGAGATCGGCCACATCATCGATCATGATCGGTTGCTTCCAACAGCAACTTTCTCCATCGATCTCGTGTTATTCAATGGTGAAATAAATATATGTTCTCACTTCTTAAATACTAAAATTGGGCGCGAAGAGGAAGACAATGTAGGTTTGTAGGCTCCTGTGATGTTTTACAACATAGGCATGTCGGCGCCTTTGAAGACACGCTATCACACGGTCAGCTCTAAAGAATAAGCACAAACTCTGATCTCTACTCTCTGACGATGAAAAGCTTTTCTTCTAACATCAAAGCAATAAAATAAGTACGTAAACCTACCCTTAAATCCATAGGAACTTCTACTTTGGCTTCTGTACGTTTACGTTTTGAGCCGCGTTTGGTGTTATTTAGTCTCTCCTGTTTTGAGAGTTCAGTTCGCAACTTGACGTTTTCTTGCTGAAGCGTTGCGTTTTTTTCTTCCAGTTTCTTCTGGCTCGCTAAAAATGAATCCAATCTCCTGTTCATACTTTCCATAAGCACAAGCTGTCTTTCTTGAGAAGGACTGCATGTAGCCATGATTCGGTTGTAAAATACGATACTAAAAACCAGGGCAAAAGCTCGCAACGAACACAACAACTTTTCGAAGTGAACTGATAAAGACGCTGTCAAAACAGTGATCAAACATACCGCGTTTGTAGCTGTGGACATTTGATTGGCGTGCTATTGTTGACGTACATTTAACGTCACCAATATCTGATTTGACATGCGTGGTAGAATATTTTTCGCGCATTCGCGCGCGCGTTCGTTCAAGGAGACGATCAAGTGACTTCTAATAATATGCTCGATTTTTGTGCACCTTATTCCAAAATGGCAGAAAATTTTAAGCCAAAGGCCAATACAATTGTATGCATGGATGGAGAAGGATAATTTCTTGTAAGGGATTGGGGAAAAGAGTGTGTAGCAGACTTAACTAGGCTTAAAAGAGGCTTCAATGGACTTGGAATAAATTCTGGAAAAGATTTAATAATAATAATAAATAATAATAGTATTATTATTAAATTATCATTTCAATAATAATTATGATTTAATATTTTTTTACCTTTAAATCAATAATATACGACTTAATCTGGTATTAAATTTTTGGCATATCCAAGAAAACTTTAATTTGTCTTATATCTTTCAGTCCGTTTATAATTAATGATATATTTAAGAAGACTTAAATTTGTCTTAAATCTTTCAGTCCATTTAATGGTGTATTTAAGAAGACTTTAATTTGTCTTAAATCTTTCATTCCGTTTAATGACATATTTAAGAAGACTTAAATGTAATTAAATCCTTAAAGTGATTTAGGGATGTTTAAAGTGACTTAAATATATCTTAAATATAAAGCTAGTTTTAATATGCATTTAACTTAAACGTAAACATGACTTAAAATAAACTTTGCTTTTAAGTCATGTTTAATATCCTTAAATCTGACTTAAAACTATCTTCAAATTTAATACTTATTTAATGTTGCTTAAACTGGACCCAAATAAGTTATTTTGCCCAGTGAGAACGCCATGTAGTTGCTAAATAAACCGCGATGGACAGATGTGTTACTATATATATGAATCTGCTTACTTGTTTTAATATTGATGGGTATAGGGATGCACTCTGTAAAATCGGAAACCAAATGAATAGCGACTATAGGTACAGTCAGTCTCGTCTTGCACGCACATCGGCAGTACGAACAGCAGCTAAATTCCCTTTCTACTGCAGACTCTTGCTTGCTAAGAACAAGGACACTAGTCCTGCGGTCCCGATGGGGACTGCATTAGGTTGGGCAAGTATTGGATTAGGATTAGAGTTTTTTTGAGAAATAAACGTACATCTAGTGAAATAACTGTCACATGTGTTTGTTTTCATTTAGTATGACAATAGGCTATTGGCGAGTTGGCGTCATTTTACTCACGACCAAAATCGTACGATTACAAGTATTACATAAAGGAGCGCTCTACCGACTGAGCTAAATCCAGGCCAGACGGTGGAGTTTTACTGTGTGAATCAAGTGTACAAGTCACACTCGTACGAAGGACACGAAAAGCCAACTGTATACTTGCGCGTGCTGAAAGTGAGAAACCCAATGAATTGACTCTAGAAAGAAACTTGAGATTAATTACGAAACAAAGAAAAATTTTTTTACCCCTGCGAAAATTTTTAAGGGGCTGTCATGCTAAGAAGCGGGTCCTCGATAGGTTTTTCGGGATACGTGATTTCCCTCATTTGAAGCTCGGGATTCGGGACTTTAAAGCAAAATCAGAGAGAGATTTGCTATTGAAAGTATTCGAGGGAGGTGGGATGCCAAAAATAACCCTCGGGATTACGGGATTGCATGAAGCTTTGGGTCGAGATTACAGGAGTGAAAAACCCTATTGGGGACCCTCTGAGAATGAAAGCCTGCTTCCTCCGGGTCTCCATTACAGATCCCCCGTCGCTAGCCGTTTTGGAAAACTTCATCTTAACTGACATCTTTCTTACCCAATGCTTCCCAATACTCCTGCCATATAAAAACACCGAGCTAGTTCACACAGCTGTTATACACCTGAATTTTCCTCGATTTGCTGTGGTATACTAACACCCCTCTGGCCTTTTACAGCCTTACCTTATTGAGATCTCCTTGATTTCAAAGCCATCTTCATTGCTAATAACGCTGCCCAAATAAATAAAGTCATCAATGAATTCCAGTTTCGCCGGATATCTGGGGTGAGATCATCGCCTTGTTGTCCCATGTAAGGGAATCCAAGACAATCCTGGATTCTGAATTCCACGTCGTGGATCCCCGATTCCAATCGTTAGTGGCATTCCGGATATCCTTGAGCTACATTCCGGATTCCAAAGCCCAGGATCTGAATTCCACAAGCAAAATTTCCAGGATTCCAGATACCATTAGCAAAAATATTTTAGGGATTCCGGATTTGTGCGATGCATGTAATTAGCGCACTATGGCTGCTCTTTTATTGCTCGTCTTTTTATATCATTTTGTTATCAGTTCTTCTGTCATTCAAGCTGCTAATGACCACCATCAGGCAGCCAAGACTTTTCTTCACTTGTTGCAAGCAAACCAGAGACTTTTTACGACCCCAGGCCTTTGGTTTCAGAGATCTTATACGATCAGTGGAAGCCCACGTGGAAGGAATATTACACGGCTCAGTTACGCTGCGGTCAAGTTATCTAAACATGGAACTACCATCCTCCATGTGCCTGGAAAAGAAGTCTACTTCGACTTAACAATTCATATGGATGTTCAAGCCAATCCAGGACCATCTACATTACCAAATTCTGGCCGTCAGACGACGAATTTTATTCACATTCCCTCTACGGATAACTGTCCAAAACTCTATTATTCTCGCGACCAACTCATGAGTTTCAGATCAAGCTGTTTTTCTACCAAGCGCTTAAATCCACAGCTCATCCGTCAACTGAAATATTTAAACATCTTAAAGTACAGGGGGAAGTCTGGTGGTACGAGAGTAAGTAAGGAAGCTACCAAAATACCGATTATTAATAAGGAAAGATTTGTCTCACGACATAATCTTAACCGAAGAGCGAATTTGCATAATCTACGATCACTGCACCGTTGCTCGAACGTCAACATTTGTGATCACGACGAACGATCTTTTATTCCGGTCACAGAAAGGTCAGGATCTGGTCTCAAAGTCCTTCACTTAAACATCCGTTCACTTCGAAATATCTCCCATCGATCTCAGCTTAGAGAATTAAATAGTCGCGAGCAGTTTGATATCATAACAATCTCTGAATCTTGGCTGAACACCACCATCACATCCACTGAGATCCAACTTGACGGCTACAAACTATTTCGTTTGGATCGCCTGCATAAAGGAGGAGGTGGAGTATGTGCTTGCGTACGCAGTGACCTTAAGTCCAAGGTTCTTAAAGATTTTTCAAGTATTTCTGACCGCAATTTCCACCAGCTCTGGCTAAGTGTTCAGGTTAAAAAATCCAAGTCGATTGTGCTCTGTGTAGCATACATTGAAACCGGTCTACACCCAAGCCCTGTTATTGAATAAGCCAATAATTATTCTTGGTGACCTAAATTGCGACGGTCTCGATAGCTCTTGTCGTGAGTATGCAGCCATCAATAGTTTTATACGTGAGATGAACCTACAGCAGTTAATAAAAGAGCCTACCAGGAATACGGCCACTACCGAGTCATTATTAGACGTCATCTTAGCCTCGGACCCCTCGTCTGTTCGTAAGAGTGGTGTCATTAACAATCCAATCAGAGACCACCTTCCTGTTTACGTTGTTTTGAAACTGAAATCTCCTAAGATTTCTCCTCACTATGTAACAGTGCGCAGCTACAAGAACTATGATCCTGAAAATTTCACCTTCGACTTGGCGTCTCATTCTGACTCCTTACTTTCGGTGTTTGCTGCACCTGATGTAAACAGCAAGGTTGGCATTTTTAATAATGCTTTTCGCCAAGTACTTGATGCACATCCTCCGGTAAAGACAGTCAAGATTCGCAGCCGCCCATGCCCATTTGTCACCGAAGAGATCAAGGATCTTATGAAAATAAGAAACCGTCTCCATCGTCGTTTTCTCTTAACGCGCAATGAATTTGACTGGGCTTGTCGTCCCACCAAAGCGGCAACAAGTCACTCCATTCAACTGAGACCTTGAATATTTACACCACATATCTAATTTTAGGGGCGATGGACAAAAAGGAAATAAGCGCATTAGTCTTACTCGACCTCTCAAAGGCTTTTGTCAGTATTTGCCATCAGAAGTTACTCCAGAAGCTCTCCGCTGTTGGTGCCTCACCCGCCGTAGTTCAGTGGTTCCGCAGCTACCTTTCAGACCGGACCCAATCAGTGCGTATCGATTCTGTGCTATCATGCAGATCCATTACCAATCACACACGGAGTCCCCCAGGGAGCGATTCTTTCGCCACTCTTCTTCTGTATTTATCTAAACGATCTGCCTGGCGCTCCTCAATTCTGCCAGCTCGAGTCATACGTCGATGACTCTAAAGTTTTGCTATCTTTTCCCGTAGCCGATGTCATTGACGCTAAGTTCAAGCTCGAAGATGATTTGCGCAATGTTGCCACCTGGTGTTCCATAAATGATTTGTTAATAAACCCTGAGAAAACGAAGTTCATGTTGATCGGCACCAAGCAAATGATAAGTAAACATTCAGTTAATTTTACTGTTTCGTTTATTGGAAAGACTCTTATGGCTGTCGAATCAGCAAGAGATCTAGGAGTATACATAGATTTACACCTGACCTATGAGACTCATATCTCCCACTTAGTCTCTTCTTGCCTGACTAAACTGGTTCAGATCAACCGCGTGAAATATTGCTTTGATAGAAAGACTTTGGTTTTAATTATTACATCTCTTGTCTTTAGCAAAATGCTCTACTGTTCGACCGTGTGGTCTAATACCTCATCTAAGAACATCCAAAAGCTGCAACTTATTCAGAATTTCGCCTGCAAAATTATCTGCGGCGCTCGGAAATATGACCACGTGACGCCATTACTTGACGAACTCAACTGGCTTCCAGTTAGCAAGATGCTCAAATTCAGAGACGCTGTTATGGCTTATAAGTGTGCCAGCAATTTAGCTCCTGAATACCTATGTGCTAAGTTTAAAAAACGGTCTTCTGTACATAATCGCACAACCCGTCACAATGAGAAGTTCGAAATCCCATTATTCAGGTCAGCCAACGTCCAACGTACCTTCGCCTATAGAGCAGTATCCCTGTGGAACACGTTAGACGAAGACCTTAGAAACGCTGCAACTGTAAAGGCCTTTACGAAAGCCCTGAAACTTGTAATGAATGAATGATCGAATGACAGTTAGCATTTAACAATTATTAGCTTGTTAGATATAGCTTGCATTTATATTTGTAAATAGGTACTGAAAAACCTTTTTTTGGGAGTATTTATTAAAGTTTTAATTTTAATTTTTTTTAATTTGGATTCTCTTGCATAGCCCGAGCCTTGGGCTCTCGGCAAATCCGATTACGGCAAATCGGCAAATCCGATCCCGGGGGTTGCATACTCCTGGGAATTCTTGGTGGAGGTGTGCCGCCCGGTTCTCCAAATCCTGACTATATTTCAGACCAAAAAGTGTAATTTTCCATACCCGTTTTCAGACCTGGCCTTTAGGCAGAAATTATGTTATAATTACATAGATTAGAGCGGAAACAAAAAAATTATTCAAATCCACTCCGTAGTTCCCTCGAAAACCATACCCGATCCCAGACCAAAATGGGCAAAGCGTATACCCGTTTTCAGACCAAAACGGCGCAAAAACCCTACCCGATGGAGTTGCAGAAACCTATATAGCTTATATAAGGAAGTATCCCTCCCCCGGGTTACTGTCTTTTTCATCTTAAAGATGAGCACGATTACTCGAGAGTATAGCCAACTTATCGTCACTTTAAGATGAGTAAAGAAGGTCCAACTTTGTATAAAACTCCTATTTTGACTGGTTTCTCTCAGAGACAGAAGATTCAACCATTCAACACAGTCTTGCTCCTCTTGCGTATTGCGAGGAATGATTTTGGTAAATTTGGTTTGCAGGAAGACCCGGCAGACACTTACAGATTATCTTACATTTGCAGATAAAAAATGTTATACCTCTCACAGTGGGTGGAAATTCTAGTCATATCAAATGTGTTGTACAACCGAGCTGATTCTCTACTGCAACAACATTGACAATCTGAAATGTAAATCCACGAAGTGGACCAGGATGTCATATGCTGAATTCATTGCATTGTTTCCTTTTATTCTGGGAAGCGCAAGAATCAAGGCAGCCGACTCGTCAAGGCGAACAAAAGATTCTTGATAAAAGCTATCAATACAAATTTAATGGTTAGAAAAAAAAAGTTGCTTGTTAAAGGAAAGGAAACGGTAAAGAAAATCCATTATATGCTTTGTCAGACATTTCATACATGAGCCTTCGGCTCGGATGATCGCCGCAACCCCATCCCACGTATTGACATAAATAAATTGGTTGATTGATTTCTTGATTTCTTGATAACCTTTTGGGAAAGAAATTTTTAATAGTAAAGTGTATTTTTTTGATCGCCCTCGGACAGGGAATAATTAATCAGTTCTATGAGGCAGATCAGGTAAAATAAAGGGCATGTAATGAGTGACATTCAAGAGTAAGCCGATGACTACATCTGTTAACAACAGCGAAAAAAGATCGCCGCTTCGAGACAGGAATGTAGCCATGATTGCCAAGTGAAGCCCGACACTCAAAAAAGAATACTTCCGGGTGAACGTTCTGTTCCCTGGAGGGCAAATAAGTGTGAGGGGGGAGAAACGAACCAAACAAAAGGAGCCTAGGTGTGTTCATATTAGTTTTTAAGGTTGTTGCATTTTTAGGCCACTACAATGTGAATAGTTATGTCAATTCTCCAAAGACTGTTTCCCCCCTTTCTGCGACCTTAACTTTAGTCCAAAAATAGTTATATCCATTTTAGGAAAATTAGTGCTTTACTTCTCCCTTTACTGTCAACGCAACAGAAATAATGACTTTCAGCGAACACAATGGGAATATTATTTTCAAGAAAGAAGTATTTGCTTTAGTTAAAGCAAGATGTCGGGAGAGCATCACGTCCCGCCTGTCCTCTTCGCAATTTTTGCTGCAGCTATGCTTCTTGCTCAAGCAAGTCAAGGTACACCTACCTTAAAATATGTTTTGTTTACTTAATGCTCTAAACAACACATTTCATAAAGTGCTGATAGTATTTGGCGTTTTCCAACACTGAAATTGAATGTTTCGTTGTGAGGAAGAAAGAAAGATATCGGATGGGGCGCACAAGGAAGAAAATATTTCAAAGAATCTTACGCTCCCTGTTTTAACAGTTCAGAACTAAAGTGAGTATTCTATCTTTTAAAAACAGTTGTTTTTTCTTTTACAGCCGCCAGTTTTAAATCTGGGAAAATCAATAATATCACTGCCAGGAGCTCAGGGTTATTTGCTTGCGAGAAAATTACCTTCGAGGAACCATTCTCTCGCGGAAAGCAAGTGAAAGTGTTTCTTTCACCTGGTAACTCAACTAATGGGGTGGAATCAGAAGATCACAGTCAATTTCGCGCTTGCATCTACGAGTACAGCGATGGCTCGAATGCAGCTGCGGAATTAAACTGGATTGCCTTGGAATCTGCCCCCTCCGGAGCACAACTAGGAACCACTTCCTTGGACTCTTGGACGACAGGAACAAAGTGTAAGAAGGTCGATTTTCCTCAGGTTAGTTTAATTTTCAAAAGATAAGTAAGTTTACGTAAAAACTGGCCTTGATTAATTATAAAAAGAAAGGATCCTTGGTGGTCGGGGGGCCTTCAGATGGAGGATGTCACGTTCAATTACCGACCCATATAATAGTCACTTGAGTTAAAGTTCACTTATCCATATACCTAGGCAAATTTATGACTAAATCTATAAAACTGAATTTATACAGTGAATTTAATCTGACAATCAAAGACCCCTGTAAAATCCTTCGAGAGATCGAGAATAAACCAGTTCAGTTCCTCTCATGTTTCACTTCCCGCATGTGATAGTCTTTCACATGGTATGATTTGGCTCAGCCAATTGAATCTAAGCTGTCAATTCTGTGTCATCAAGCACTTAGAGCTGATTGCATGAGCTGGGCTGGCTCAGCTTGAGGTGACGTTTAACCCGGTGCCTTTTCGATCCCGGGATCCCAGTTAACCGGGCTAGCTTGATTGGTAAGTAACCACAAAGTTGAGTTTCGTTGAGTTTAATGTAATGAGCTTTGTGCGCATAACAAAAATACCCCCGCCCCCTCTCTCCTCTCTTTTTGACGGTTTCGTTATGTTAAGATATATTTACTCTTCAGTTAAAATATTTGCTTAGACTTTGTGTGCTCCGAAACTATTGAACAAAAACAATTTAAAAATGGCACTGTTCAGTACCGCTCTAAGACCATCGTTTTAGGTTAAGAAAACTTTTAGTACAGTGATGGACCATGTGACTTGAATGTGACGGAAGGTCTTTCCCCTTTGAAACGGAATTTAAGCTCAACAGGAAGTCGGTGTTTAACTGTCGATAAAACAGGGGAAACTAGACTCAATTGCGGGGAAGAACCGACACTTCTCTGTAGGACCAGGATCAAACCACTAACTGGTACAGCTGAGTAGATAAAACAGAACTAAACTTTAGTTCTGACAACAGCAGGTCAAACAGCATTAACTGAGGCGGGACACGGCGAATTAAACGAAATGTAGTCCCTCAACCCTGAAATCCACGATGTAATATAAAAACAGTAAAAAATAGTTTTCCTATATATGATTTCTACAACCACTGAAGGCAAAAGAATACAATAGAAATATAAACAGAAATCGCTTAGAGTTAAATGAAAACTTACAAAATCTATTTTTAACCTGAAATCGTTTCTTTCTGTTTCTATTTTAAAAAGTAAAAGTACTGCAAAACAAAGACCTAGCTAGGTCAGCAAAACAGCGATTATGTTCAATATATTATTGTATTGTAAGTGTTACAATATGTATAAAGTTGTAAGTTAAGCTATCGGCTCGGAAGAGGGGTAGAGTAATTACTAGTTCTCACCTTGAACATAAACCCGCGATCTATTTCAAAATTTGCAAGACATGTACAGCAAAACCTTTCATATTCAAAATTTATCTGTTGGCTCTACAGTATGTAACTAACAACTTAACGAACAATATTTTCGGAAATAAATATAGCTAAAATGCAATGATTAAAACGACTGTGGTGTACCTGTGTGAAAAGCGTTATTATGAATAGATGTCATCTGGTTGTAAATCAGACTACAGTTAAATAACCATTATTCACGGCAGCCGAAACTAATCATTCTTTTAAAAGTCAACATATATCGAAGTAAAATGTGAACAGTTGAAAAGGGAACAACCAATCAGTTTTGTTTGTTCAGGAAAACTGTTGGCTAATTTCCAAAATTATTAGCGGGCACAAAGAAGCTAAATCAACCAAACGTCAAAGCGAATATTTGAAGGCTACGTAAATATGAAATTGGAGGCAAAGAAAGAATTATTGGAAAATCTCACCTCACAGTCAGTTGCGCTGTTGCAATGAATTTCGATAAAGTTGGGATGAAGTCCTCTCATACAGGGAACCCTTTCCACCTTTCCATAACCTGGTGGATGATATCAAGCATTTGATAGACGATACGCCTTTTTGCATCAGTTGATCACGTGATCAACTTTCGGTAAACACGAAAACAGTTCGACGGTTCAACGGTTCAGTTCATTTTCGGCGGCCGTGGCGATCGCTACTTTTGATATATTTGGATGAAAATACAAAGGTTACCTAATTTTAAAATGCTCTTTCAGCTTCTGCTAACAAAGTTTTTCAAAACCAAACTGTTTTCGTGTGATCACGTGACCAACTAATGCAAAAGGCCTCTTACCACCTCACAAACGTAAACATTACCCCGATGAGTTGTACCCCAGTAAGATCTTGGGATATTGTTACACCTCTAGAGAAAATGACCTACTCTCCTTAGTAAAAGTACCTCAACCCTATTCCCATGATTTCAACACAATTATTCGTATCTAGTTCTTTGCTTTTATAGCAGGAGTTATGGGTTTGGAACATTAAGAACGGAAAACGTAAATTGCCGATAAAATAGTCTAAAAAAATGCACCATTTGTTTCTCGAATTATATTCAGTTAAAGAGCGTTTGTATATATGATATTAGACGAGAGAATTTTTTGCGCCTCTCTGTTTTTTTTTTGCTTTTGCTTTTTGATCGCGCGCGCAGTCATAGAGTGTACGCTAAGACATATTCAGCGAGAGCTATAGGTGAGGCCTTTGTTTAACATAATAATCATCCTTGATTGCTCTTGAGGACATTGAGCAACTAAACCTAATTTCCGTGATATAGTTTTAATTTTGCAATGATCCAGACGATTGGGTACAATGGGAAAATTCTGAATGTCAAACCCAATGCGGGAGCAGTACAAGGCCATTATTCCATTATTTTCAAAAGTCTGGCGAAAGTCTAGTGGGGTAAGTTTCTTTTGCTTTGTGTCCCCCAGAGCGTGAAAACAAAAGAAACCAACTCCACTAGACCGGGGTCCCCCACTCCATGTAAACAGGCCCTTAGTGTTATATCATAGACTCAATTTCTATCTCTTTCATCTCTAGCATTTTACGGGACACTGCAGCCTCCTCTGAGTTTTGCGAATTTATGCGATACGCATGTTGCTAGTAGATGTAATGATAAAGAGCCACAACAAAACAAAGTAAATACATGGAATTGTTTCAATTGGTATTCGAGGAAAATAATACAATACCCTAATTATGAAGAAAAATCTTGTCTGATTCAGGTGAAATTGTGAAACGTACTTACTTAGGAATTTAAAAAATATTATTTCTTTAAGTTTCCCATTCTTCGCCTTTCACTACTCCTTTATATTTATATTTAATTTCAGCGTTTTTTGACCCCTCCAATCGTACTTGCGACTCCGAGTCACCAGTTTCCTGAGAGACCTCAAGACGCCATGGCAGTCTGGGTGGAGGATTTGACAGAACACAGTTTCAAACTCTGTCTTAGGGAAGTGAAAATTTTTGATGGACTTCATAGGAGCATCAAAATTGTGAGTAAAATGTTGTATCCACCAGGGATTTCTGAGATTTCATGTTGCGCATTTGCCCCTCATTGCACAAAGCAGGAAAATAGAGATACACAAGGAAATAACATTCTGATTAAACCACTTCATAAAGGCGAATGCGATTCGAAGACGAATAATTGATTGTTTAGAAAGGGGGACAACAGAAGGCGTTTTACTTAGCTCGGCTGTTCAGCTAGAGCTCCGAAATATGGCGAAAACTAACGCTTCCTAAAAACAAAGCAAGAACAGCAAAATGCCACATGCGCGAAACATAATGACTACTATTGAAAGAATATCTCAGCCAGATATATACAATTCCTGAAGTTACCGAGCAACAGGGAAATGTTATTAAAACGCAAATTCAGGTCGATGGAAACAATATTTTGAATTAATAAATCAATTTTTACACTTGTTTGACTCGGTTTTCGAAGGATATATTTAACAATTATTCTACGAGTGCGCGTTTGACTGATATGAGATGGCAGATAGCCGACGAGGCGCGAAGTACTGAGTTGGCTATAATAATCTCATATCCAACAAGCGCGAGTGGAATAACTGTTTTATTAAAAACGCCCACAAAATTTCGAGAACTATTCCCGACTTTAATTGTAAAGAAAGCAAACGATTTTCAGCTCGTTTTTAGTTTTGAGCAGACGCGTACAGTTATAGTTTGGAGAGCATGGTATAATGGCTCATATACCATGATGGCTAAGCCAATCACAACTCTAGAATTGCATTATCCAATGATTCAGTTTTTAATGAAAAGAATTATACAGATCAAGGTGAGTCTACTGTTGTCCGCCGAGTCCTCGTTGATCTCCATAATTCCACATAACATCTACGCAGCCTCATCCAATAAATACTAAGTGGTTTTAAAATCGGTTCCTTCGTTGTAGCTATCATAAAGCAGTTAGCGAAATATTGCGCTCTTAGTTTACAGACTTAAAAAAAATGCCAAAACGCAGGTTTTAAGTGTCCGATAACCCCGAACGCCACACTACAGATGGAGAAGGAACGTCAGAAACACGAGGAAGAAATCAATGCACTGAGTCTCTTAATGCTATTCCTACTTTGTAACATTTTCAACAATCCATCCAGAAATAAATAAATAAATAAATAAATCATAAAAACAAATCGCTGTATCTTTAAATAAAAATGAGATAAGCCTTATCTAATATGATTTTTCCATTGTTTCAGAACTGGATGGCTTATACAAACCTCACTGTTGTGAACTTTACATTATCAGAGAGTCTTGTGCTAAGGAACAAAAACTCACCACCCCAAAATAACGAGGCCTTTTGCGAGGTGAAAAAATGTTAATAATTAAAATGGACTATCTTGACAATATTTTTATATTTTTCATAAACTTTAACATGTGCATCGGTTGGTGATATCAGTTCCTGCTCACCTGGATCGAAGTTGAAGTTTGTTTGGTCATTTGCATCACTTCTCACCAACGATACATTGTGGCTACGTTAAAGAAATCTATGAGTCTGAAAAAAAAAAAAATCTGAGGATAGGGTTTCAATTTAGCTTTGCCCTCTATGTCTATTTAATCACTGATTGTTTAAACTAGACGTAACTAGGGAGCAAAAATATCATGTCCGTTAATTATTTGTCATTGTATGACACATTGTGATCGTTTCATGTCATTTATTTAATTATTTATTCATTTATTTATTCATTTATTGAAGTAGTTATTCATTTATGTCAGCATGCACTTATTCTGGAAATCAAAGTAACTAAAAAGTGACAAATAACAATCCATATCGTTTATGCTACAGAATATCAACTTCACAATGCCGCTCTATGCTCCACCAGTGGTAATAGTGACCGCAAAGCGTGTCAGCAACAACTCGCAATCTTCTGGATGCGACGCAATCGCCGCATGGGTTGAGGTAAAAAAAAAAAAAATTAAACAGGTAAAATTGTATAACAGACTTATGCCATCGTCACCCTGCGAGCAGAGCCCAGTTTTGTCTTCTTGACTGAGGAGGGGAAAAGGAAGCTGATCTGCTTGAATCGCGTCACACATTTGAGGTCGCCGCAGCCAAAATTTAATTGTGGACTAGTCAATCCTGTTCCCCCTTGTAACACTGTTTTTGTTGTTGTTGTTGTTGTTGTTTTGTTTTTTTTTCGAGTGCGAGCATCCGTTTATTGATCAGGGGCACCCAACGACTGTTTTCTGTAAACGATCTGTTCGGAGAAGCCAATGTTGCTTACAATGTATTTTTCTTTTGCTTGAGGACGGCTGAAAATATCTAGATGAACATTCCATTCATGTACAATTTTCGAAGCTCATCCATCAAATCCCCTACGATTTTTTGAAGTTTAATTTTTCATATTTTAATACTTCCCAGGTTAAACTATTTTTCTTGGAAAGAAGAAACTTAAAATTTTCGGATTCTAAAACGTGATGGAGAGAGGAATCCGAAAAATTCTTACTTTCGTAAAACGTTAAATTGCACCTAAAATGTTCGCGAAAATGATGCAGAAACCCTTGTAATTTCGAATAGACTTACGTTCCCCTAGGATGACCGAACGGATAAAAATTTTTTAGCGCCGCTTAGAATGCATTTCGACAGATCTAAAAGTCCTCTAAATAGCCTAAAAAGTGTTTTCATCGTATTTTGGAGCAAACCATCGTTGGGTGCCCCTGATTGATAAACGGGTGGTCATGAACGCGGGCTTGCTGTAGTAGGAGCACAATTATTAGGCCTGGGTCCGAAACTCTAGCAACATGCTGCACATGCTCAACAAACGTCTTGTCATTTTGCGCAGAGTCTTTCTTGAGGAGTACGCCAAAATCAAGCAAACGAAAGAAAGGCTCTGCTCAGTGGCAGGGTGAGGCAGCGCAAACCTTCAGACGTGATCTGTTTGATGATATTAATAAACAAGAAAAAAAGATGTACGCTTAAGCTATGAGTGAGGAAAGTCAGTACTAGAAATGGAAATCGGCAGATTTTTCACTGCAGTTTTATATCAAAAAGAAGGTTTCGTGAGGACAAGTTCGCCTCACTGCGAGTTTTGCCTGCATATGTCTTCTGTCTCTGAAATTTCTGTTGTTAGTACACAAACACCACAGAAACACAGATTTGTGTCAGAAACTACGACCCAAAGAGCAAGGATACCATAAACGTGGATTACTTAGTTTTTGGAGGTAGGTATACGTAAGTTTCAGTAATACCCTTCGCGTAATTTAATTTGGTCTCGCTATTTAGATAAAAGAGAGCGCAAGTACATCATCACAACAACTGTTTAATAGGCCACTTGCACTAAGAGGTCACGTGACCAATGCTTCCTTTAAACAATGAGTTGGAATCTTGCTGATGCTAAAAATTGACAGAGCACATAAAAATTATCTTACCCCCGAAATTTGAGGGGAAACGCATTTAAGGGAGATATTTTATGGCACTTTGATTTTTCAACAAAGTAGTATGATTTGTATTTGTATGTTGGAGGGCATACTCTTGCCCTCCAACATGGCGGCCAAAACTACTTTTTGCTCAGATCTTGTTAAACGTTTGATAGTTACGCTCAGATGTGTTGTAAACGTTCCCACATCAACTTTTCAACATTCCCCTTGAAGTTTAAGAGCAAAATTTGTGTTCGGAAAGAGTTAATTCATAATTTCAAAAATCACATTTTGGTCACGTGACCAACTACGAACTTACTCATTTTAAGAAAATGGTGCAGGTTTGAAAAACCAAATCACTATTATTTTGTTCAAGACATGACCCACTAATCGTTTTCTGAAGAAAAAAATCATATAACTTTCACTTTCATAAAAACGATGTCACATGACCTCTTAGTGCAAATGGCCTATTGGTATTGTTGACGTGTCACTTATGACGTTAATGACCCCATAATTATAAGTTGATTCAGTGTATTTTTACCAACCTGCGTGGCAAGCAGGTTATGTTTTTTACTCTCCTTGGCTACTTTTTAGTTTTCTAACATCCAATTTCATTAATTTGATACTTTAAATCAAACTCAATGACGAGACACGTTCTGAGTGTAAAGAACTGTGAGACATCAGGCAGTCTCGAATTAACACTAATGAGGACCTCTAGATCTAGCCTCTTCGTTAGTGGGTTATTTTAAGAAGAAAAATGCTTTTCTAGTCTAGTACGCTATGTGCGTTCATAAAAGTGTTCACAATAAATAGTCTTTACATTAAAAATAAAAAACGAAATTGAAATGGCCTAGCCGACGCGGTTTTGTTGAATACTGGCTAAACACCGTTTAAATAATTGGCCCATAGATGTTAGCAAGAGCTATAATGATGTTAGCCTTTGCCGATTTAAGGTAACGGAAGTATATCTAGCCAATGTTTTGAAAACCAGCCTGACGAAATTTGCAGTCATTTAAGTGAAAAGGCATCAAAAGACAGATTTTTTGGGCTCAAAAAGATTTTACTCGAGGGAAAAGGAAGAGGAGAAAAAGAAAGAGCGAAGAAACGAAAAAAGGAGCAAAAGAGAAAAAAGTAATGGTAGTGCACACTCTTAGTTTTTATAATGGCTACTTTGGAGATAGTTCAAGTTTTGGCCGAAAAAAGCTGTTGGATAGAAAAGGTCCTTTGGCGCTAACGTTTTCAAAAATCCGGTTAGATATATATGCGTAGCACAAAAGCGGCAAAAATTCAAGGAGTGGCTGGCCCTCGACAGCTTCTCTCCACCTAATTCGCTTGAACTAGTCAAATAATAAATTAGGGGTAAATCAGTTACGGAAACCTTAATGTGTGCCACGGGACAGCAAATATTTCGATGATCTGATGATCAGTGTCGTAGTATATAAGTGATATCCGGTGTCTGTGTCAAATGGGATCATTTGTAGCCGTAATTATCGATTTTTTAGCTGAACCTTCTCCTTCTTCAGTTCGCAATTTTCAAATGCAAATGACGATACTGACAATACTTCTTTTAATTCCTGAATACAGATCCGGATCCTTGTATAGACGTATACTGTAATTATCACGGTCTGTGCAAGGCTTTTGGACCATACGATGCCCGCTGCGTGTGTATAGACAGTTGCCCATCCTTCCAAGTACCCATATGTTCTTCCAATGGAACGACGTTTGACAACGACTGTTTCTATAAGCAGGAAATGTGTATGTTACAATTGAACCACACTGTGCAACATCCAGGGAGCTGTGAAGGTATTATTTGAAGTGGATGTTTGTGAAGTATCCATTGTTTCTTGCCTCTGTGCCCTTTCCACTACCCTTCCCGCTCCAGCTAGAAAAAAAACTCACGACTACTAAGTTTAAGTTTAAAGAATTGCCTAAGTTAAAATTGCAACATTTTGGGTTTTAGAAGTCTGACTGTGACGATGTTTCTGACAATGACGTACTTGAGGATGTTAACCAGACAAATAATACCGTATTCACTATATGTATTATTATTTAAAATTCTAAAGATCAAAATTCCCAGCATTATGGCTGGAAGAATTTGAGCCTTTCAATATCCTCTATGGTCCTAAGAACAGCACTCATAATTCGAGGACGGCGCTCTGTCGAGTAACTAAGGAGGACGTGTTTAATTAATGAACCAGGTTAGCCCTATATACCTGCTTCGTCCCCAGTCGCACGCCATCACTTTTGGGGGATATTTGAGTTAATTATTAAGAAAAGCGGGGACGAAGGGAGTGCGCTCTAAGCTCGTTCCCATCATTCCCCTTTCGCGCTTCTCGCTCTCGCGTGTTCCCAATCCCCAGTTAGCCTTGGGAAAGCCTGCGGAGGAGGCAGCCTTTTTATACGGCTGTAATTACTCATTATAAGTCTAAACGTTGCTCTTTAATTGTCTTAATGTGATTGTGGGTGACAAATAGCTAACAAATTGACCGAAAGAGAGTGTGTTGGCACCCTTCAGAGTTCTTACCACTGTGACATTTTGCCGACATTCCGTGACCTAGTATAAGTATACTGAAAAAGAAAGGCAAATCATAGAAACGCCGATTTCTTGTATATCAAGCAGAATAGAAAAAAAAAAAAAACATAAACATGATCCTCATGACATACCCTTCGACTGTCTCAGATTTGGGTCAGCCAATTGGTTTTACGGAGCAGCAATACGTTAATTAAGACATTACACCCCTATTTTCCCGAACGATCGTCGAGATCGAAGACTTTGCGTTAATGGGGGTCATCTTGGATGAGTGTCAAATCTACTCAGGGGCTATTAGCCCCGACTCGCGCCCCCTGGGTACATATGAAACCAAGATGGACACCCGTACTGGTAAGCGCTCAATCTTGACGGTCGTACGAAAAAATAGGGGACTGTGAACAGACTGTTATGACTGCCTATATCTATATTTATAAAAAGATTTTGAACGTCGAATTAAAACAAGAATATCGCGCTCTCATGGTTCTATTTCAAATTTCATTGTCTATTTCCTCGCACACAGTGGTTGTCGACAACCTTGCAGGCGCAAAATCTCTCAGTTATTGTCAAAGTTAAATTAATTTGTTTTGTTTCTGTTTAACTTTCCAGGATTCCCATATCAGCGCTCGCGACTTCACATGCCTCACATACCATCCTTGGGGTATTCGCATTGTGAAGTAATTCATCTACGACCATTCGTGTTCTATCCCGACAAACCCGTCCAAGTGCAGGTAACTGTTAATCACGTTGATACCACGGACATGAACTATGTCCACGATGCTGCTGTGTCGTGGATTGAAGATGTGAGTGTCGAACAATTTACTGCTTGCGTGATGGCGGCGGGTTTTAACGAGCGCAAGTCACGTGCTAATGTGTCCATAGACTGGATAGCTTATCAGGGAGCCCCAGATGGCGGGGTCTCTGGAGAGGTGCGCATGTCACAGTGGTGGACTGGGACAACATGCAAGACAGTGAATTTTCCTTCGGTAAGTAATTTCTACACCTCAATGATTTACTTTTTCTATTACACTATACACAGTTGAGAAAGTATTACCTGTTTTCAAGCCCGGCGACGGGGGTAGTGGGATACCAATATACCCATTTTTTTTTCTCATGAAATACATGTATCAGTATATACCTTAAAATTCTAAAATCTTTGACTCCAAATATCTAAAATTGCCTTGAATCCTTGAAATAGAACACGGCCGTATACCTAAAAATTATCCAGGGCCTAGTTGTTCGAAGGCCGATTACCACTAACCCAGGGTTAAATTTTAACCCATGTGTCTTTTTCTCTTTATCAATAGCACTTTCTCGGATAATTTACTCTATTCTTTTTGGAGTGTTCTATCATCAAATTGTAAACGAAAAGAATTAAACTGAATTTTCTTTTTAAGCTCTCATATCTGAATTGAAATTTCGCATTAAGCCTGAGTTATCTTGACCCAGCTTTGAACAACTCGGCCCAGGTTACTGAAAGATAACACACCCATATAACGAGTATAACTTTTAGTGCACTGCACTCGGTCATGAGCTATTTGCTTTCCCTCATTTGCCAGCCCCTTGAGCTTGCAACTTCGATCACTGTGTCAACATAAATCCTAATACTTAAGATTCAGGAAAACGAGATACTCTATACCCGCATTTTGACACCAAAATACCGTATACCTAGACACCCAAAAAGCCAAGCCACCTGCAAAATAAATTAAAAAGATGCCTTTTCAAACTCGAGCTTCGCCCCATTTAAGGAATTAAATCCAAGACAGTCTTGGGTTCTGGACTCCATGCTGTGGATTCCGGATTCAAGGTATTGGATTTCGGATTCTTTGTCAGTCTCCGGATTCCAGAGCCTAGTATTCCTGCTTGTAATAATACTTTGATTTTAAAATTGACCACATGTTGCTTTTTTTTTTCAGTCTAACGTTTTCTCCCATGGTCGTTATAAGGTTCCAGAGCAACCGTCAGTTTTCATAACTGCTGCACATCATCGTGCTGGACTGAAGAGAGACGCCGCCAGCGTTTGGTTGGAAGACATTTCGCTATCGTCATTCAAGATATGTTTGAGAGAGCTACAAAATTACGCAGGCTCACATGAAGATATTTCCGTTGTATGTTTTTCTTCCATGCTCTCTTTCTTTTCTACGTCGTTTTCGACATATTCGCTTTTCCTGTTTAGGCGACAGAAAGATACGACTGCATATTACACTAGCATTTAAGGAATGTTTCTCTTTTTTACCTTTTTTCTCCGTTCGTCTCTTTGTTATAGAACTGGCTGGCTTTTTCATCAATTGAGACGCCCTTTTTCTCGGAGCACAACTCAATATATTTTGCCAACTCTCAGCCTCCTCAAGCCTGGAACAATAACGCATTCTGTAGGGTCAGCATATAATCTCTTGTTTGATATTAATACGTTGTACTTGTATTGTTTTCGTTAACTCCTCTTTGCATCGAAGTTTGAAATCTGTTGTTCTGGTTCATTAGGATATTTCCTTTGTTAAAGTGTACAAGAATGCTCCAAGTGTTTTTGTATCAGCGAATCACACTTCAAGTGTGGGAGGCGTGGATCCGATGCACAACTCCATAACAGCTTGGGTTGAGGTGAGTGTGGTATTGTAGACAAACGTAAATATATAGGCAAACATTACTTCCGTTAACATCACTAACATATGGTAATAAATTCTGTACCCTTTACATTAGCATTTGTAATAATTGTTTGATGATAACCTTAAGTTTACTTTCCTTTAGTACATCAACACAACAGGAGCTCGAGTGTGTTTAAAGGAATTGTACGAGTCAAAATATGACCCTCTCTCCGTATCATATACCGTCATGACAGGTAAGGGCGCATTTTAATTCTGCGGGTTTTACCTACTAAAAACTAAATCGAGGTTAAAAAGGAAAACTAAAATACACCGTAGGAAGAGCCTTTTCAAGCCATTTTAACAGGAGGTTAAATCCGCCATGTTGGTGTCCTACACCAGCCCGCTGGGAGTTAAATTCTTGTCTTATATAAACGCTTTCTCATCAAAATTTAAAAAAAATAGCTTTTTAAAGCACGTGATTTAAAACACTCTATTAAGATATTCCAGCCCCTTGCTTTATTAAGTATTACGAATTGTCATACGCTTAAAATGCTGTAGACCAGTGTCAACTTTGTAGTTAAAGGCAAAAAGAGAACAGAGGAGTAATAGGGTCTTTTTAAAATGCATTTTTTCTGAGTTGAAATTTGCCACAAATGTCACATATTTTCCTGCATTTTTGAAGCCGTCATAGTTAATCTCCGAGAACGTTGACTTGTATGTTGTGTTTGCTTGTTTCGAATGAAAGCCGTCAGATAACAGCAGCGACTTTTTTCATGACGTAAACAGGTTACGATAAAAAGTGATTCAGCTCAAGTCTCGGCATGATCACTGAACCAATTCCCGGCTACGTCACTCAACTGACTGATTAGTAAAAAGGGACTAGCCTGCGTAGCAAGCGTTTCCGCGCGAGTTAGTCGAGAGAGTTGGGACGAGAGCAATTTCCGCGCGAGTTAGTCGAAAAAGTTTGGACGACAGCAAATAACTCGATTGGAAACGCTTACTACGTAGGCTAATAAGGGACTGGCTATCAACTTAAGTACGTCCGTATTCTAATTTCATCTGTTGTCAGCTAATATAAGGCACGTCCTTTTCTAGCTTGCTCTTGACACGCACGTGCGTCATTTTCATAAACTCAATCCGATATAGGTCCTGTTTTTATTTTTTTATATAAACGCGTTTACCCCGACTGGAGTTATAAAGCACAAGTGGGATCTATGGTACTCTTTTGCCAAAAGACGTCCAAGGAAATATACAGAATTGCAATCTTAATTTTTGCTATCCCACTCTCATTTTATATTTTTTATCACATGCAGATATTTGCCAGACAGAATGGAGTTATTTTGATGGCTACTGTTACTTAACAAGTCGGGCATGCGCCACGTGGCTCACCGCTCAATCAAACTGCTCTACAATGAGTTCCAATTTAGTAACAGTTTACAGCCAAGAGGAGAATGTTTACATTCAACACCGTCACAACGGAGAAAGATCCTGGATCGGACTCAATGACCGAAGTGTGGAGGGTTCCTTTGCGTGGGCAAGCAAAGATACAAGTAACTTCGAACTCTGGGCACCGAATCAACCGAACGACTGGAAGAACGAAGACTGTGTTCACACTCTTGGTGCTCGTCATCGTTACGAATGGAATGATGTATCGTGTGATAACTGCTTCAACTACACTTGCTTTAAAGGTAGTTTTATAATATACTGTGATATCAAGTTTTAACTTTATCTTAGTTAGAGGCTACCCGCAAATAGTAGGGTTATTCTAGGCGGGCTGAACAAAACTCACTAGGTTATTTTATTCTTTTGAATTGATGAATGCTTCATCGTAATCGTCCTCAGTTTGCATGAGATAACATAAAGTTAACAAACATTTTTAAAAGGCTTTTTTGGATATTAGCGTATTTCATAACTTGCCTCCAATGATGGATGATGGAACCCTTCCCCAGAGTTTTGTATGTTAAAATATTTCGAAACTATTTTGCCTTTGATATCATCAACAAGATGAGGTATATTTTATGTGTGGAGGCGCTGCTGGAGGCCTGGACGTCACCAACAAAGATTGCCATCTTGGCTTGGATTTTACCAAGAATTAGAAATCAAGTTCAAGTTAAAATGGTAATTTTTTGAGCTTGACGTGTAAAATAACACCGGCCCCAGGAATCGAACCTGCGACATCCCGCTCTGCAGTCGAGCGCTCTACCGACTGAGCTAATCCTAGCTCGACCCACTACCCACGACTCACGACATTTAGCTACACTCCCTAAAAACGCTTGCGTGGGAGACTATTCCATTTGCCGTGCCTGAGAAAACATGGGCTCGATCTGATTTGAGGGGGCCCGGGGATACAATTTTTCCACACTTTTTCGTCTGTTCAGCTGATTTAGATATACATTGCAGCGGGTCGTTCTCTCACCACGTCAAATTTTTATAGTTTTATGTTTATGTACAAGACTTAAAACCGTGTGGCCGTGTAAATGGTAAGCACTCCCTAGGACGCCCAAATGCGAGTGATTAATAAATTCATTTTTTCTCAGTGCAAGTCTGAACGAATTTTGACAACATACGTGCCGCGCATGTGTACTAGTTACAATCTGCAGAGTAGGAAGTAAGTGGCCTCCTCTGCTCGCCCGCAATAATGCAACCCCCGTTCTTAATTATTTGTAGTCACCTCAGTTGCATAAAGCGGGAACAAATTCCAAAATTCAAAGTGACGCTACCTTTGTAAAGATATGTGATTATAACACGGAGTACTTTGCTCTTTTCAGACTTGGACGAATGTGCTACTAATGCCTATACTTGCGGTGTCAATGCTGAATGCCGGAATACCGTGGGTTCATACATATGTGTATGCAAAGTCGGATACACTGGAGATGCTTACACGACCTGCACAGGTATTAGGCAATTAAATTAATAGAAAACAAACAAGCAAACAGAGGAAGATAAAAAATCGAAGGAAATATTTACAAGGCAACTACTCACCAAGATTATTTTCGTATACACACAGAGTGATTTTAACGGAATGTACAAAAAAAAAACATTTAAAATGACTCCCTTAATCAAAAATTCGAACAAGTAGGCGTACCCAGTAGATGTGCTACAATTACATCTTTACAGTATTTTCAAGGATGTCATAGATTCTCAATAATTGTGTAAGCTATAGCATCAACGGTTGAAAAGGGATCGTCAAAAGTTTAAATGACTACCTCGATCTGAGAAGAAATTGAGAGCTTCATTTGCTTCTGTCAAAATTAACTCACAAATAAAAAAAGGGTTTTTTTTTTGTCGCTTCTTGAAAGTGCTTATAATGGCGGCTCCGATCGTCGTGAGACTTGTTTAAATGTTGTGTTCTTTGCCTTGCTTATTCTTGGTAGCACGAACAGCTTTTCGAAAATACTTACTTTGATTTTTTTCCTTCATAAGTTAACTTCGATTTCAAGGCGAATTTCTTCTTGTGAGGAAATACCGAGTTTACAAAACGGCCTCGTTCTCCTTTTAATAGCTCCGTGGTTGTAAAAATTTCTTTGAGGGTAAAAGTCGCAGCTACAGCTAATCACTTTGCAATAAATCACGCTGTTTAAAACACTTGAAGTCTTTTCTATTCCGTCTTCAAAACCATCGACGCTAGGATTTTCTCAATGTGTATAAGAAGTTCTTACTCTAAAACTTTGCGTCAAAACACTAAGAGCGGGGTCAGTTATTTCAACAAAGTCTACGAAATTGGGCCACGGTTTTGCAAGTCTTTGCACCTCCAAATATCTTCCTTAGTGGGTAATTTTAAGAAAATAAGTGCTTTTCGTTCTCCAGTGTATACCTTGCGCTTTCACGAAACTTACACTATAGTAAGTGTTGATTTAAAAGCGTTGGGGAAATTGAAAATGGCTTATAGAACGCGGTTTTGTTAAACACTGCCGGGCTAAACTCCGCTTAAATAACTGGCCCTAAGGGTTAACCAAACCGCGTTCTAAGCATTTTTAGTTTTGCCAAACGCTCATATCAAAAGAACGTTTATCAAACCAATCAGATTGGGATTGGTTTGAAATCGCCAAGATCAATGAGTGTATATATACTAAAATAAATTTTTCACGTCTTGTTGCCCTTTAGAGGCTACTCAGGCTGGGCATTCGTGCCCGAGATGGAACAAATTATTATTCCCATGACTGAGCTCCAATGCCTCCTGTTAAATTCATAAATTAGATAAACTAAGTTATGACTATAAATGGCAGTATTTGTCTTTTCGTAGATATCAACGAGTGCACCAGGAGAACTCACAACTGTCATCCTTCACTTGGTAGATGTGTTAATACAGTTGGATCCTTTAGCTGTTTTTGCATCAATCAATTTACGGGCGATGGAAGAATTTGCAGTCGTCTAGTAGACGGTAAGTACACAGGCAAACATCTGAAAGAGGGGTCTTTCTTCGGTGCCTTGCTTCAGTCTGCAACATATCTCAGTATGACCAGCTTGCTCTACTCCATGTAACTAACACTTCGTAACTAACAATTCGTCGGGTGCGCTCCCGATAACCTGTGATCAGGCCTTTTTTTTTAGGGGAAAGGAAAAAAAACTCCTGATACATTTACTTCACGAGTCGTCTACCACCCCCTAATTAAAGTATCTGTCAACATTAGTGTCATCGTGTCAAATTTTACCAGAAATTCAAGCGGTTTGCAATTGAAATGTATATTGATACAATAGTCGTTAGCGAAAACATCACAGATTTTAAAGGCCAAGTTGGCACGTACTGCTGTTATTGCGAATCTTGCCTTATCGTTGCCGTGTGGTACTTTTGTTCAAACCCTCAAGTCAAACAAATTTTAAATAATTCATTGAAATAATTAATTCATGCACGAAGTATTATTATTCAATTCAGAATATTTAATCCGTGTACAAGGACCAAAGGCCGTCGAAATGCAATACAAAATAATGAAACAGCTTTAAAGCTTATTGACGGCTTTCGGATGACAAGCGAAGTTACATGCCTGGAAACGTACAGTATAAAAATATATATATTTAAAAAAAACATGCACTGTATAGTAGTGAAACGTGAATAAACTTAATTTACGTCGATTTCTACCGGACTTTGTTAGCGCTCGTAACCGAAACTAAGCTGAGATCAGGCTCTGCTTTTCCAGCTTTCCTGGGTAAATAGATTCCAGGCGGGTAAGCAAACCGAAAAGTCTCCCATTTTATTTCATTTTATCCATGGCATGCATATTAGTCGGTACAACACGGGCATTCCGAAAATGTGATAAAAGAGCGCCGCTGACCAAGAATAGGCTGTGGGCTCCTTTTGTCGCCCGCAATTATGTCGCGGCTACTTGGTGTCCACACTTATAAAGAGCTATATATAAAGAGTTCAACTTTGGTAGCCATATCTGTCAGGAAGTGTGCGACAAAGAGGAGACCCTGACATGTACGGATGTACCTTTCCAAACGTTTCGTATTGCTTGTTGATCTAAATTGAAAACCAGGTGAAATACTGAGAACGCCAGCGTTAGGAGCAGTTTACAAAACAAGTGCTGCTCTCGTTATCATCTTCATCTTAATCACTATCATCATCATCACCATCATCATCATCATTATAATTACTATCAACATTTATTAATTAAGTTTTCGACATTATTTTTTGTCAGAATGCCAGGCTGAACCCGGTCCGCCTTACAAAGATAGGGACAAGCGTAAAGGATATATGAGTCTTACCAACGCTGACAGGACGGTGAATTTCGGCATCAGTGTCAAGAAGACTGACAAGGGAGAGAAGGGATGGTTCCGTTTTGAGGGGAGCGCAGGCACAAAAATGAAAGACTCATGTCCGAGATATAGTTATAGATATAGTCAACCACGTTCGAATACGTGCAACACTAACGCACCTGGCTGGATGAGGGGTAGTGAGCCCAACGTCAATGACGGTCAGGTCACCAGGACGGCGTGTTTTACCTGGAATTCTAACTGCTGTTACTGGTCAACAAGCATCAAAGTGAGAAATTGTGGTTCATATTTAGTGTACCATCTCACCAGCACACCCGATGATGGTACTCACTCCCTTCGCTACTGTGGTAATGGCTGACTAAGCAGCAAACAAAAACTTAACGCTTCCTTTCATTGGTTTCAAATCATAGTTATAACAATAATAACAATAACATTAACATTGATAATAGCGGTTGTTTTGAAGCATAAATTCAGTAGTTCTACATCGTGAAATAAAACATCTTAGACCTAGAACATACAAAAAAATTAGGTATAGTCACACAATCAATTAATACAGTTTACTTGCAACTCGATCCGAAGAACAATAGCAACAACAAACAATAGTGATGCAAAATAAAAAAGTCAGACCTAAGTAGAAAACGTATGCTCAGTTGCTTGTGGGTGACTTTATTCTACGTTTCGATGTATCAAACATCATTATCAAGAATGGAAAAACGTTGTATGTCAAATTTATAAAACGTTTAAGTACTTGAATATCATTAAATGGTTCCCTCCCCTCCACAGAGGTCTCTTTGAAACCAAGAGAGGCTGGGGAGGTGGTGGGAGGGGAGAGGAAAACGAGCGTCGGACAATGAGAAGGGAGACGAGAAGAAGACAGGCTCCCGCCTTTTCCCCTCTCCATGGCCCTCTGTGCGCAACAATGGTGACTGGGTGGCATGAGTTGGTTCCCATACAAATCCTTCTAATTTTCGGCGGTCGTTGCAATCGCTATTTCTGAGATATACGGCTGAA